AGAGCTTATTACATAAAGACGTTAGAATGATTTTTTACTTTTTACTTACGTAGATTTAAGTACTCACCGAACACCAGCTCTTTCAATACAGTAACAGAGTTCTTGCACAGTTGATGACTGTAAGCCGGAACTCTTCGCGCAAGTCTTGAATGTTTGCAAAATAGCATTATCGGATGGTAAATCGAGAGTGCAGCTAAATGGAAACATCGGTTCATTCCAGAAAACAGAACTTCTAGCATCGAAAGATTAAAGTACCCAACAGATGTAATTTATGATAAGTGAATTTGACTTTGCTTTTTTAAGTTGTCAAAATATCACCACTGGGAATGCATTTCTTCTCAAATTTATATGTTGATAGTAGTTAAAATCAGCAAGTATTGAGCTTGAAGTGCTCTGATTTTCAAAGTAAAGTTAGAAAATATACTTTCTGTGGCAGCCCGCCTTCTTTGTAACACAATTGTAGACACATTTAACATTTTTCCGACCACGGGCTATCAAATTGTTCAATTCGCTACCGAATCCTGGAATCTAATGGAATCAGTGGAAATAATTCTGAGGTTCAGCAAATCCTTGATCAAAGTTCTCAATATCAGAAAAGTTTCACAAAAATAATTACTTTGAGAATAAAGTATACATTACATCCTTTTTTTGTTTTCAAGCAGTTAGCTTCGGGTTTTTTTGCATAAAAGTGATTTTTTAAAAGAAGACAAAAAATAAGATTGGCCTATGTGACAGACAATATTAATGAAAAATGGCTACACAAATGAGTGATATATCAAGCAATAATATTAAAAATGAGTAGAATAGTTCCACCTGATCCATCAATTTTCTTGCGTAAATCATTGACCATAGCAAGTTCAAGTCCTGTTAGAAATGCTCTTGATGGCAACATTTTGGGAGCCCCTTTTGAGCATCTGAAAAAAGCTTTGGCTAGCTTTTGAGAATTCATTTCAGCACGAATTAATAGTCGTAATAAAAAATCCTTTCTTTGACTTAACGAAAACGCTTAATTAGTTCAGCGCAGTTCTCACATTTATCTTATCGCCTTCACGCTTGTGCACATAGCTTTTATTAATTTAATTTTTTGTTAGAAATTATCAAAAAGAGTATTTCAGTTCAAAACTTTATTGTTTTTGAATTTAGCGCAAAATTTTCTGTTTCTTTCAAACCAAAGTTGTACAAGCAAATTCCAAAATATTTTCAAAGAAAAACTAAAACATACAAATTTGGGAAGGAGTTTTTGGCGCAGACGATAGTGCCATCTAAAATGTACTTTTTACTGAACATGCAGGAGCGGATGAGTTCATGATTAACGCCTGGAGTGCGTTTCTGCAAATGAAAAATGCCTCAGAACTGAACTCTCTGATATAATTTGGTCACAGAAACCTTTGAATGATTAAATAAATTACTGATGAATTATGCAGATTTGCTGTACTGTTTCTTTATTGAAAAAGAATTGCTCTCACAAAAGGATAAAATGCTAATATTGTAGGAAATTCGAAATGCTACAGTAGTATGATTATTAGTTTTCAGAAAAAACGAACGAAAACTACTCAGAGCAGACAAATTTATATTTTCAGTCTAATATTATAATTGAATTAAAAAGCACAAAATGCTTGACGCTTTGTACGTGAGAGTGATATCAGGAAGGCTGGCGAAAATTGTTGGCAACGCAAGGTTGGTGTAAAACAAAGCTTAATTTTTGGAAAACTTTTGCCAAAATGAGCAAATTTCACGGGTTTCAGCTGGCAATTGTTACCTCACATTGCTCACTACACTGAACCAAAAATTTGTCGACATTCGCCAGGCAAGTTTCCAGTTCGGTACACGAACATTGTCTAACTAGTCGCTGTGCGTAACAAATTTCCAAGCACAGTAATAATGTTATCAGCAAAGATACCGAAGACGTCATCTCCTAATCGTCTAAAATAATTTGATATTTATTTGACATATACCAGACCTGTCAGCGTGAAAGCGTAACGTACGTCTATACTTGGTATAAATATAACAATTTTAATAATAAATAATTTTTGCTGAAATTTTCCCTCACAATTTTAATATCAAAATGTGCTAGCAGGAACTGTCCATTACTCTCAGTGCTTGCAAATAATCGAAAGCACTGAATAATTAATTATTTGACAAAAACTTTGATTTGTCGAAATTCTTCAACGAAATTTGGCAGTGCCAAACAAAGTTTAATTGTAATGATTTGAAGCCAAAAAATTCTCTTACAGAAAATTTACACTTTTATCAGCCAATTTTGATGGTAACAACTGTGTTTACAATACTAACTCCGAAGTCAATATTAATAATAATAATAATAA